ACAAAAGACCTGTTGCGCATGTCCTGATGTTGACACAACAGAAAATGTTCTCCTTTCTTGTCTTACTATAATGTTGAGACTTCATATGACGACACATCATCACTGAGGGAAATAATTGTATAAGATTTGAATTCATATGAAACACATGATTAGAGAGGTGACACGGAAAAAATGGATGAACAGCAAACGGCAACTAAGGGTGCGTTCCTTTGGGGGTGATCAGGATCAGGATCAGTGATCCAAGATCACTCAGATCACAATGCATCAAAGGAACCGATGAATCCACTCTGGTCACGGATTCATCGGCTCCTTTGATGCACCATGATCCGAGCGATCTTGGATCACTGATCCTGATCCAGATCACCTCAAAGAAACGCACCCTAAGTCTAATGCCAGAATTACTGATAGAGCAACAATTAACTTCATATTAGGCACTTCGTCAAGCACCTACGTACAGGCAGTGACGTTAATATACAAAAAACACTAAAGAAATCCTTAATCGCAAACTAAATGTATGGCCACCATGTTTGAGCGAATAGAAAAAAAAAAAGCGCGATGCCCTTTGTTTGGATGTTTTAGGCTTCTGACAGCCGACTTCTCGGACCATTGCCCTAAAATAGTCAACCCCAAAGCACAAAAAATCATTAAAAAAAAACAAAAAAACATCCTCATCTGTGAAATGGCCGAAATGTTGCGACGTAGCATGGTTATCCAATTTGATAAGGATTCCAAATTGTAAAACAAACATCAACGAGTGGAGTGGCCTAGTCTGCACAGTTCAGCACAGCTCATATCAGCTATGGAAAACCGTGAGTAAATAGCGATAGATTTTTGACTTTTTTAACTCAATATTTGGATAGATAAAAATAAGCAATGTTGAAAATCATCCAAGGCAACAACCGAGCGGTGTATTATTCTAAAGACAATGTGACGTTTTTAAGCCAGAGACCTCTTCTCAATCATCTTTTGTGCTTTCTGGAGCAAAGGGTAAACAACATTAGTTCAAAATAAAAAGCACAATAATGAGTGATATGATATGACATGATAATGAGAAGTGATAATGATACCCAGTGAAACAGGAACTAAAAATGTAATAAGAACGTTACAAACAAAAGTTAAATTTAATTCTGTTGCATTTTACATGATTATGCAAAAAGTTAGAGGCAAAAAATTTTAAGGTGTTAAGGTGCGGTTTCATTATCATCGAAGAGCTATCCACGACAATATTTACATCTGCGCATGCCCTCTGCTTTATTTGAGAAAAAAAATGACGATGCACAAGCCTGTACGAATTGTCAACAGTGCCCTGACTAGTCTCAAGGAACAAACTAAAAAAACTGAACACAGCTTATGGTTTTATTCAATTCAAAGAAATGATGATTATATTGAGAAATCAAGCATGCGCGGTTTTGGAAGTCTGGACCGATGGGATTTATCTTTCATTTTGTTTTTGGAGAGGAAAAATTAATCGCATCGGTGAGTGAATTTTTAGGAGATCGCTAGAACTTATTGAGCAAGTAGATTTCCTTGCCATTCCTCCACTTAACCCCTAAAATGGTAGGACAAAAAAACCCCAGAGTATAACAAACGGCTGCCCGGTGAAGTCAGTTTTTCTTTACGATTGACATACTCATGGCGTTTACTTGTGATATCTTTTTGTATTCACCCAAAGTCAAATGATTAAGTGAATATCGTAGCTTTGCGCTGTTGCCTTGAATTGTCGAAATAACNTGATAGCCAGTGAAATAGGAAACTAAAAATATAACAAGAACGTTACAAACAAAAGCTAAATTTATCTCTGTTGTTTTTTGCATGATTATGCAAAAAGTTAGAAGCAAAAAATGCTAAGGTGTTAAGGTGCGGTTTCATTATCATCGAAGTGCTAATCCATGACAATATTTACATCTGCCCTCTGCTTTATTTGAGAAAAAAAAATGACGATGCACAAGCCTGTACGAATTGTCAACAATGCCCTGACTAGTTTCAAGGAACAAACTAAAAAAACTGAACACAGCTTACGGTTTTATTCCATTCAAAGAAATGATGATTATATTGAGAAATCAAGCATGCGCGGTCTTGAAAGTCCAGACCGATGGGATTTATCTTTCATTTTTTTTTTTTTTGGAGGGGAAAAAAATGGTAGAACAAAAAAAAACCCAGAGTATAACAAACGGCTGCCCGGCGACGTTAGTTTTTCTTTGCGATTGACATACTCATGGCGTTTACTTGTAATATCTTTTTGCATTCACCCAAAGTCAAATGATTAAGTGAATATCGTAGCTTTGCGCTGTTGCCTTGAATTGTCGAAATAACAATTCAGAAATCTTTTATTCATGCATATATTTGAACTAGTTGCACCTGCGTGGATCTTTTACGTTACTCCAACAGCCTCGCGTATGAAGAAATACCTTTTTAACACAAAAAAATTTCTTATTAATGCTGTGTGTAATTGTGTGTTATTGGGACCACCCACTAGATTAGATGACCTTTGCTATTTGAATGATCTCAACTCATCCCATATTTAGCTGTTATTAAAGTTTTTCTTTTAATATGTATTTCTTTGTCTATGTTAATTTCTTTAAAAATCCCTACGGTCTGTAAAGCTGAACTGAGTAAAATAAATTATCTTGTCACAATTTTCAGCTATTAAATTTGCTATTAAATTTGTTTCAGCTTCAAATTGCCCTTGCTATTGCAACTTACTATTGCAACTGCTTCACAGTGCTTGGCTTTCCCATCGTTAACCGCGCTTTTAGCGCGTTTATCTTATTGGCTCATTCCACAGGCTATGCATGCTGTTATGATCCACCTTTCACCTCTTTTCCCCTGCTAGCTAGCGCTTTTCATTGATTGCCACTTCTTTCGTTCGTTGGCTNAAATCTTTTATTCATGCATATATTTGAACTAGTTGCACCTGCGTGGATCTTTTACGTTACCCAAACAGCCTCGCGTATGAAGAAGTACCTTTTTAACACATTTCTTATTAATGCTGTGTGCAATTGTGTGCTATTGGGACCACCCACTAGATTAGATGACCTTTGCTATTTGAATGATCTCAACTCATCCCATATTTAGCTGTTACTAAAGTTTTTCTTTTAATATGTATTTCTGTCTATGTTAATTTCTTTAGAAATCCCTACAATCTGTAAAGCTGAACTGGGTAAAATAAATTATCTAGTCACAGTTTTCAGCTATTAAATTTGCTTCAGCTTCAAATTACCCTTACTGCTCTATTTTTGCAACTGCTTCACAGTGCTTGGCTTTCCCGTCGTTAACCGCGCTTTTAGTGCTTTTATCTTATTGGCTCAATCCACAGGCTATGCATGGCTGTTATGACCACCTTTCACCTCTTTTCCCCTGCTAGCTAGCGCTTTTCATTGATTGCCACTTCTTTCGTTCGTTGGCTCATACACCATTTGAAACCTAGACTAATGGTTTTATTAACGCCTCACTAAGGAAAGAATTGTATCCACGTTTCAATTTACAGAAACGGTAAAATTGTCGTTGTTCAGAGCGAAATTTCCCTTACCCGACCCCGAGAAGGGTGATATTGTCAACATCTGGTCGTCAACGAAGATTTTGAGTCTCGCGCTCGGAAATTTGCTAAGCGTTGGTTCTTTCAAACGTTTGTTCTAGAAACAAAAGAGCCTCAAAGCTGCAAACAATAAAAATGCTCACAAAAGGAAGTTAATCCCAGAGCATTCTCTCCCAAAGATTAAACATAAAGTTTGATATGATTTTGGTTATTAACTCTGGTATTGACCTTATAACGTGAGGAGGGCTCCAATATATGGATCATTTTCAACCTAACTTTGCTCCACTCAGCTCAAATCCTAGACATAAATCCACTTTTGACCACTGAGTAATTAACAATAATTATTAACCGAAGTGGAAGTAGATATCTAACACTTTCACCAACACTGAGGTGAAAAATTGTTTAAGACTCTCCAGTATATACGACATAAGTTGAATAACTAGCGGGCTAAAACATTCTTCTTCGGTAGCCGATGAAAAACAGCAAACCATTTTGTTTCTCATCGGCTGCTCGGGGGAGAAAAACCAATCAGAAACCCTAAAATGCACTATTCAATTGTGTTATATATGTGTACAATACAAGTCAATGTTATGATACAATGAGAATTGAAACAATCAGAATCTAATTCATAGTGAGAATAACTAAGATCTCGCAACTGTTGCCAAGCGCAGAACTTGTCGACTTGTAATTTAACACATTCAGGTCACGATGGGACAGAGAAATTCTTTTAGTTTCTTTAAGCTTTGGGTTGCAAGAGAAGGGGCATAATTTCATAATGTAAATAGTTCAGATTTGAGATCAATTTTTTAAGTTTTAAGGCAATAAAATATGAATTGATAAAGATGCTGCTGTTGGACTGTAGAATTCTGTAAGATTCAAGCTCCGCCATGAGTCAAAAGTCACCCTAGCGAAAGTAATTGACCAATTTTTCCAGCGACTGCATTACAAAGAAAAATCATAAATGCCAATGTCACGGGAATGAATGAGAAATGCCTTATTATATCTTTGAATGTTTAGCACGAGTTAGGAACTGTCCATTTGACAAGGCAGCAGCCTTTAACAAACTAAAACGAATCACGTGGTCTAGTCCGCTGTCAACCTGGTACAGCTGAACACAACTCACATCAGCTAAGAAACAGAGTGCGTAAATAGTAATAAAGTTTTGTTTTCGTTGTTGACACAAATGTAGTTCTCATTCCTATGTAGTGCTCAACAAAGAAAATATAATTTTTTTGACTGATTTTCATGCTAAGACCAACTTATGTGAAGGCACTGCGACGTACTGAAGTGCTTCAAAAGTTTCTTTTTTCTGACGAACACAACATGGTTAACACGCAACGTGCTTTCGCAGGGTAATAAAAACCATTTTAAATGTTAAGTTACCGACTACCAAGAACGTCACAGTTCAGGCGAAAACTGAATAAACGCGATAAAAGTGAGTGTAAATGGCAAAATGCGATGGATTTCTGGGGGCCTGCTTTCTTATTTAAACACCTTTTGTTTCACCTGTGCAAATTACAAGCGTTTCATTGTAAAATGACACCTCCTCGCACTTAAAGACAGAAGCTAAGTTGGCAAAGACAACAGAACGCACACACTTCGTGCGTATCAGGAAAAGTTCGAGGGAGGCTTATCATTTCATCGTACGGTCAGTCATGTCCTGGAATACTCCTGTTGTGTTACTTGGGGCTCTATGCATCTTTGGTAAGACGTACGTTCTATTTTAAAGCGACTCTAGGTCGCGCTATGGTATGTGACTCTACTGCTTACAAACTTTCGTGACTGAAACAATGGTTTTAAAAGTGCACAGCAGTACAAAAGGAATTCTAGCAAGAGAAGAGATCAAAACTAAAAAAGAAGATTAAAACGGATTGCAATAATCAGTGCTTTATTTTTGTCATCAGCACAAAGAGGGCGTGACCTAAAAAAGTGCCTATAAGTTATGGACCACATTAAATATATGTTGAAAAATGCTAACAGTGCCTGTATTTGTCATCCTCTTTCAGGCGGACTTCTCAATGTTAAAGGTAAGGCAACAGGATTCAACAGAATCCACATGAATAGCGCAGGAAATATAAAACATATAAAGTGTTATAGCTTCAGGGTAGCCAGCTGTTCTACCCTCTTATACTATTAGTCAAACCAAGCACAAAGGGGTCTTTAAAATCTGAAATTATTTCACAGGCCGATTCCAAACCCAAATGCATGCCTAGACGTTAAACCTGTCTATTAAAAGACCTCAAATCCTTGCGATAATCACATAAAAGCAGCTTCATCGTCCAAAAGTGAAAATTGTCAAAGCATCCAATCTGATTATGACGAACAAATGGTTGAACTTCGTTTTCGTGAAGGGTTTTAGTGACTTCACTTGCAAATGTTTGGTATTTTGTATGGGTGGTCGTTGCCTGAGAGGTGGTAGCACGTGGAGTTTCGTCATGCCAGTGAATCCCACTGATCAGTAAGGACGCACAGAAGTAAAGGAGACAAGTTCAATTTTCTTTGCACACTATGGAGTAAAGCCAGATTCGGAACCGCTCATATATGGCACATATGAACTTTAGAGTTGTTGGGTGCGTGTAAGCTAAAAAATTGGCTGCTTAGTTTCTCAGTTGTTTTTAATTTTCGTTATNAGAGAAGAGATCAAAACTAAAAAAGAAGATTAAAACGGATTGCAATAATGAGTGCTTTATTTTTGTCATCAGCACAAAAATGGCGTGACCTACAAAAGTGCCTATAAGTTATAGACCACATTAAATATATGGAAAAATGCTAACACGGCCTGTATTTATCTTCCTCTTTTAGGCGGACTTCTCAATGTTAAAGGTAAGGCAACAGGATTCAACAGAATCCACATGAATAGCGCAGGAAATATAAAACATACAACGTGTTATAGCTTCAAGGTAGCCGGCTGTTCTACCCTCTTATACCGCTATAAGTCAAACCAAGCACAAAGGGGTCTTTAAAATCTGTAATTATTTCACAGGCCGATTCAAAACCCAAATGCATGCCTAAACGTTAAACCTGTCTATTAAAAGACCTCAAATCCCTGCGACAATCACATAAAAGCAACTCCATCGTCCAAAAGTGAAAATTGTCAAAGCATGCAATCTGATTATGACGAACAAATGGCTGAACTTCGTTTTCGTGAAGGGTTTTAGTGACTTCACTTGCAAATGTTTGGTATTTTGTATGGGTGGTCATTGCCTGAGAGGTGGAGTTTCGTCATGCCAGTGAATCCCACTGATCAGTAAGGACGCACAGAAGTAAAGGAGACAAGTTTGATTTTCTTTGCACACTATGCAGTAATGTCAGATTCGGGACCGCTCATATATGGTACATATGAACTTTAGAATTGTTGGGTGCGTGTAAGCTAAAAAATTGGCTGCTTAGTTTCTCAGTTGTTTTTAATTTTCGTTATAGAGAATTACTTCACAATAGTCGAGAAACGGCTGTTAAGGTGGCTCAAAACAGTTTCCAACACTTAGATTTTGATGCGGGTCGCTACAACCACTCTTTATCACTTGATGCTACAATCATGGAATCAAAAAACTGCCCAATCATCGGTAAAAACGTTGTTACCATTTTAGTGACGCAATAGGTTACCTTAGCAACAGTATGACCTCCTAAAAACACCCTTAATTCCAGTTTTAGGGGCTTATAATTCAAAAACAGCAAGGTGGAATTTTTTATATTATCAACTTTTGATCAGCATGATAAGACGTAACTTTTGCCAAGTTTAAAAAAACACCTGTAAGTAGGATTCAGAGCCATGTTAAATTTTCGAAATTTAAGGAGGCTCTGAACCCTGGAAACTGTTTTGAGCCACCTTAAGTGTATGAAAAACGAACAGGTCGGGAAAAGCCGACAAACTTTGTTTTTATAATGTGAGCACATGTATGTATGTAAACTTTTTGCGACTAACCAACCAACCAGCTAACCGGCTAATCGAGAAAACAACTAGCCAAGGAACCAACTAAAACATCATGCGCTCAACCAAGAAATTAACGCTAACCAACTAACCAAGCAACCAAGCAACCTGCCCAATCAAGAAAAAGACAAACGAACCAACCAATCAAGAAATTAACCAGCTGACCAACCAACTAGCCAGCTGGAATGTATATAACTCAGGCCGCCTGATACTCTTGTTTGAATGAGCTATAGATGCAATCAGCTAGCAGAGAACCATACTTTAAGACCTTCTTGTTATATATTGCGATAATTTTCTTCTACCGCAAGAAGAACTTCAGTTCGGTCAAATTTTCAGTCTGACTATCAAGAGCCACTCAGATACGGCCACATTGTCACCGTTCAGAGTTTTGGGGCATGTTGCTTGTCTGATGGACGGGGCTCCTCTCAGCTCTTCTCCACTTTGGCAAAATCAGTGCTTGTTAGGGTTAACTGCTAACCTTCAGTTTTATTTAGGCTCATATGAAGAGGACGGCTTGACTGCACATAACAAGTATCGCGAGATCCATGACGCTCCTCCCATGAGATTAGATTCTAGCATGACCAGGCAGGCAAGGGCCTATGCTCAGCGGCTGGCAAGAATGGGCAGTCTACAGCACTCGAGTTCTAGTGAGAGACCGGGTCAGGGTGAGAATCTCGCCATGGCGTGCGGCTCAGGAGGCTTGTCAGCCCAGAGAGCTGTAGCGATGTGGTGAGTAACATCGTGCTACAGACAATATTTGCATGAGAGAAGATGAAGGGTCAGATCCCTCATCTTATTCACAATTTGATCCCTCTCAAGTTAATGCTAAATCACTTACCGTGTGTCGTTTTTAACGTCTAGAAATAGTTAATCTAGATTACAAGTATGTATGTATGTACGAGTAGTCCCTCTCTCGCTTTGTCAGTCGTGCGTCACGCGAAAGAAAACCGCGAGAAAAAAAAGCCGCGCGAGCCCCTGGCGTCTCGACCCCAGGATTTCACGCGGTCATTTTTCCTCGCGGTTTATTTATGGTCTCGCTAGTCGGACTAAACGAGAGAGGGACTACTCGTAGTCTATAGTTAATCCTGTGACGCTGACTTTGCTCAAGGGGACAGCAAGAACCTCAACGTTAAATATACGGACAACTAGTAAAAACGTTTCCATCTGGATATCCCAAAGTTCATCCTGAGTTATGGATGTCAAATGAAATCGGACTAAAATGGGGAGTCAGCCACCTTAGATGACAATGATGCACTCATTCCACTGCAACTCATTCTTCCTGGAAACGGGTGTATAACTAAACTAACGATGTATTTCTTTTTGTTTCCCTCCTTTCTTTCTTCCTTTCTTCCTCAATTCCTTCCTTCCTTCCTTCCTTCCTTACTTCCTTTCTTTCTTCCTTGCTTGCTTCCTTGCTTTCTTCCTTGCTTGCTTGCTTCTTTTATCCTCCCTTCCCTCCCTCACAGGTACGAAGAAGTTTGCAAGTTCAACTTCGACAATCCCGAACAGAGTCGCGGCGCGGGTCACTTCACTCAGATAGTTTGGAAAAATAGTGTGGCGCTGGGGGTAGGAGTAGCTCACTCAGGGCGCTGTACTTATGTGGTTGGCCGGTATCGTCCCGCAGGAAATAGGAGGGGTCAGTTCAAGAAAAATGTTGCTAAAGGTAGTTTCGATAAAAGTCATTGCGGTGGTTGAGGCGGAGGTCGTGGTGGAGGAGGATGGGGTCGACGTTGACGCTAAGCATCATATGTGCATCAAAACTGCTACCTGTGTTAAACTAAAAAAGAAACCAATAAAGTAGTTGTAACCTTGCTTTTGTGTACCTTTCGTGTAAATTCACGTTTTGCAAGCTGAAGTACCTTACCCGTATCTGTTTCAATGGTCCGAAGATTTAATTCCCAAGGCTACCGATGATTTCCCAAAGACTTCCGATGCTCATGCTTGGAATCGGCCCTGAAAGCTATATAAGAATGATTTACTTACAAGTTTTTTGTCCAAGTTCTTACCTTTTTCTTCAATAAATGAATTTGTTTGGGGTTCAGAAGTTCATAGTTTTGATTACGAGTCAGGGAATTCGTTTGTTTGAGATCGACGTTTTTTGACCAGCTGCCCGTACCCGTTAAGCATGGGACTCAGTTGTAACTGTAGGCAGGTAGGTGTACGGTGATGATGATCATGCCTCTCTCGGTCGAACTGCTTGCCTTCTAAGACCTGTCATAGTAAACTTAATTTCTGCTACCGTGATGTCACGAGTGCGCTTATGACAAGTAGAGTTAGGAGCAGCCTGGATTCTTTCAAAAAAGTACTTAGACTAAGGATGTCGTGAAAACCCTTGACTTGAAATAAATGTTGGGCAATTTTGCCTAAGCGTTTGGAACACAACCAAAGTCGATTCTGATCTGTTTCTACACGCCACGATCAGAACAACAACAACATCACCCACATTTAAAAAGGGAAGAGTCGCGATCTTGATCTACAGTTAAGTTAAAGTGGGAAATATTGTTAAGCCTGCATTTTCGTAAGTTGATTAGTTATAGTGGGTCGGGTGGAGTAGGGGGGGGGGGGGGGGGGGGGGGGGGGAACTCCCATATAAAAATATGGGAGTGCTCATCGCACCTTTTCGGGGTTAAAAAAGTGGTTTTGGTACTTCTTAGGGTGCTCAGCCTAAAAAGGTCCACAGCGGGAGCTTTTGCAGTACCTCTTGTCCAAAAAATTATGAAAGGAGATAATGTGTTATTGTAGAATTGGTACCTCTTAGGGGTGAAAAAAATTCAAGCCTTACCCACACAGCAGGAGCTTGGTACATCTTAGGCATTCTTTTTAAAATTTCTGACCAGCACCCCTGTCCTGTTTTCATGGGAGTCCCCCCCAGGACAGTGATGTGTACAGTTGAGCATTGCTTTCTCAAATTCAAATCATTTTCCCTTGGACATGCTTTTCAGTCATTTTTGATCAGCTGTTAGTTTTTTCCCTTGACAGCTCGAGGTAGTAGAGTTCAACTGCATTCCCTGTGTTTGTTTTATTTCATCAGAGGATGGAAGCACCGAAAAAAGGGAGGCTCCTGACTTTTAAAAACAAGACATTTAAGATGTGGAGAAAGAGACGACAACGTCCAGCTCTTGATAAAAAGAGCGGAGTAAAGGAAACCCCAAATTTACAAATGCCACCCCTGTCGACATCTGAGGAGAGTGAAATGTCTAACTGTGAGACCACTGTGGATCTGCCTAAACCACAAGATGATCAAAGTATAGGCACATCTATAAAAGAACAGAGCTCAACAACTTCAGGTCAGTGGGTCAAACACAGTTTGGATTTGTCAAAAGTTTTCTCCATATTTAAATCTTAATGTGAAATGTTTTGCCAAAGAGATTAAAATTATACATTGAGAATCAATGATCGTCAATAATGGGAAATATTGAGACCCATTACAAAGGTTTTGGTTAATAGACTTGAAACCTTTTTTTGGAGGGTTTTTTATAATAATATTATAATTATTGGTAAGCATTAAAGGTTGTAAAATTGAAGCTCTGAAGCTTGGTGGCAATATATTGGACACAGTGCGGGATTGATCAGCTTTCAAGATGATCCTGAAAAAATATGGTGCAGGAGTGAGGGGAGGTATAAGTACTATTTCCCAGCCCAAATTTCACCCAAGTCCAAGTTCTGTTCTCAATTTTTGGTGCCATAGTACCAGGCTCCTCTTTAAATTGAGACTGAGTGGTTCTTCATAGTAATTATAAACCAGAATGGGATTGTTCATTAGTTTATTGGAAAAAAAGCTAGCAGTGAGCTTTGAATTCACTTTGAAAATAAGCACAAGGTTTGAGCAAAATAAAGCGAAAGTCAACGGGTGAAAAGAAAGTAAATGAACAAGAAATGACAAGCAATCCTCTTCACTTTTTAAAAAGTGTTGAACTGACTCCTTTATTTTATTGTGTTTTGAAATCTGTAGATATAACATGTGTGGATATAACTTCTGTCTATATGACCTCAGCAGACAGCGAGAAAAGACTCAAGGATATGTCCAGTGAAGGACAAAAACAACTGGTTGTTTGTTTACAACCTAATGACGTCCTTGGAAATGACTATAGAAGATTGGCTGATAAATTGGGATATAGGAATGATTATATCAAGTATCTAGGAAGTACAGATGAACCAGTAAAAACATTAATTAAGGAAAAAGGAGACATGAAAATTCTGGAGTTGATTCCACTGTTAGAAGATATGGGGAGAAACGATGTGGTGGAAGAACTTCAGAAAAGTTTAAGTAGGTTGCCCTCATTGTTTTGTTTTCTGTGTTTGACAAACTGTTATCTTTATAACATTTTTATTGCATTACTTGTTTCTTTAACTACATTCAAGGCTGTGCTCTAGCAGCGCCTGGTCGCCTGAGGTGACTGGCCTCCATCCTCGGGCAACAAGAAAAACATACATAGTCACCTGGCTGGGCAACCTCCTTTTTGAGATTTAAACTTAGAGATGAAAACAATCTCACAATAATTTGTCTTTCCCTTTTTGATTTCTTGTGTTGTATTGAAGTTTACAAGACAAAATGGCTCAATTCAGAGTGTTTAAATTCATCTGTGAGGTCAGAACATAGGTCATTCAATGGCTCAGTTCGATGCGTGGGTTTAACACTGGTCTGCAGTGATATGGACAGCAGTTTACTTGTGTACTTGGTATAGCATCAACAAAAAGTCTTCTTAGTTTTTGTGGATTGCATAATGTGCATTAAAAGTCCCTAATAGAAGGAGAATGTGAACTAAATTATTAGAAGCATAGAGGGAAAAGAAGGAAAAAGGAGTTAATTTGTCTTCATATATCAACCATTTTAACTCATAAAAATGTGTAAATTTTATCTTTCTTTGTGGACTTCTGACAACAGTATTACAAAAAATTACATGTGAACCTTTTATTTTTGGCATCTGTAAATGGGATAAATGCCCTAGAAATAATTCGACATTTTTGTTTGAGGGTCAATCGGTTATCATATATTAATTAATAATGTTATTAGATCATTATAATTAATTAATTAATTAATCAATTAATTAATTTTGTTTTGTTTTGTTCGGGCCACCAATCTTGACTTCTGGGCACCCTAGCCTACAAGGTTGGGTGCCTGAAGAGCTCCTTAGAGTTTTTCTTAGAGCATAGCCTTTACACTTATTATAATGACTGGATTTCAGCACTCTCCTTCCACTAAGTGCCCCCTTTCTAGTAAGTGCTCCTCATTGAGTGTCATTTTTTAACAATAAGTGGCCCCTTCCAATGAGCACCCCATAGCAAAAGCAACATTCATGACATGGATGTAGAATAGACTGATTAGATTATCAAGTCTGCTCAGAGCCATTTGCAATTATTGTTATAGTTCTTTGGTTGAAGTACATCTGTTGTCTTCTTTTAAGGCTTGTATCTCATTCATATGCATATTTTCAACGAGATAATTTTCAAGATAAGATTCCTAATAAACACCCCTTCTCAAATAAGCATTCTCCTGTGAAGCATTAAAGGTAAAGAGCAGTAAGTTCCCGAGCTTACAAGCCACAAAACTGGTATTGAATGTGTTCATGTGATTTCATCAAATTCTCAAATCCAAAACTAAAGAGCCACTAAAGGTTTTATCCTCGTCAGGCATAAGAGGTACTAAATTCATATCTGTTTACAATTTTCCAGCTCACTAGCGTCCTTCGTTTGGAAACCAGCGCATTTTGAATTTCGGAGTTATGGCATTGTGTGACATGAAGCTAAGGTCGCGTTTGTTGGAAAATGTACACCTATCTCGTGATTTTTAGCTATTTTAGGAGTTAAAGTATTAGGAAAAGTGCTTGTGTAAATATTTTTGGTTTGGTTCAGATAATCAGTTGTCTAGATAGCCAAAGTAAGTTCCAGGTGTTTACACTATTTTCTGGCTGCCATATTGGAAGACGAAGGAGGTCCTCCAACATGGTGGCTCCATACTAGGCTCTATAATTTTGCACGGAACATTTTGACGAATATCTTAGCGTTGGGACAACGCACACACCTTAAACTTGGAGAACTGTCTTCTTTATTTATTGTGCATAATATCACAATTTCTTGACTTTATCTACTGAATGGTTTTTGATTTTATTTTTTATTGCATGACAATGAACATGCTCTATTGTGTGACCTGTCTTCATGCTTCATTTTGTTTAGAGGCGACCTCTACTCCAAAGCAAATAGAAGAGCGAGTAAGGAGACGCGGTATGTAGCTCGTGACATGTTATTACCAGTTGTTGTTCACGGTTGGTTTTGGTTAAAGTTTTCTGTCAGTCTGTCTGTCTGTCATATTTCCTGGTATTCATCATGATTATATAACANACTGGTTAATCGTGGCATTTTACTGTAACTTCACAATTAATTCCAATGCTACGCTCCCGAGCAAAAGCATCTCACGGAATCGCCTTTAGGCGTCTTGTTGACTAATTTTTCCAGCGATTGCATTTAATACAAAGAAAAATCATAAATGCCAATGTCACGGGAATGAATAAGAAATGCCTTATTATATTCTTGAATATTTAGAACGAGTTAGGAACTGTCCATTTGGCAAGGCAGCAGCCTTTAACAAACACAAACGAATCACGTGGTCTAGTCCGCTGTCAGCCTGGTACAGCTGAACACAACTCACATTAGCTAAGAAACAGAGTGCGTAAATAGTAACAAAGTTTTGTTTTCGTTGTTGACACAAACGTAGTTCTCATTTCTACGTAGCCCTCAACAAAGAAAATATAATTTTTTTTTGACTGATTACTATGTTAAGAACAACTTACGTGAAGACACTGCGACGTACTGAGGTCCTACAAAAGTTTTTTTTTCTTTTTTTGACGAACACAATATGGTTAACACGCAACGTGCTTTGGTAGTTTCCAGCGTAATAAAAACCAGTTTAAATGCTAAGTTACCGACTACTAAGAACGTCACGGCCCAGGCGAAAACTGAATAAACTCGATAAAAGTGAGTGTAAGTGGCAATATGCGATAGATTTCTGGGGGCCTGCTTTCTTATTTAAACACCTTTTATTTCACCGGTGCAAATTACAAGCATTTCATTCTAAAATGACATCTCCTTACACTTAAAGACAGAAGCTAAGTTGGCAAAGAAACAGAACGCTCACACCTTGTGTGTTTCAGGAAAAGTTCGAGGGAGGCTTATCATTTCATCGTACGGCCAGTCATGTCCTTGAATACTCCTGTTGTGTTACTTGGGGCTCTATGCATCTTTGGTAAGACGTACNTCCTTCCTTACTTCCTTTCTTTCTTCCTTGCTTGCTTCCTTGCTTTCTTCCTTGCTTGCTTGCTTCTTTTATCCTCCCTTCCCTCCCTCACAGGTACGAAGAAGTTTGCAAGTTCAACTTCGACAATCCCGAACAGAGTCGCGGCGCGGGTCACTTCACTCAGATAGTTTGGAAAAATAGTGTGGCGCTGGGGGTAGGAGTAGCTCACTCAGGGCGCTGTACTTATGTGGTTGGCCGGTATCGTCCCGCAGGAAATAGGAGGGGTCAGTTCAAGAAAAATGTTGCTAAAGGTAGTTTCGATAAAAGTCATTGCGGTGGTTGAGGCGGAGGTCGTGGTGGAGGAGGATGGGGTCGACGTTGACGCTAAGCATCATATGTGCATCAAAACTGCTACCTGTGTTAAACTAAAAAAGAAACCAATAAAGTAGTTGTAACCTTGCTTTTGTGTACCTTTCGTGTAAATTCACGTTTTGCAAGCTGAAGTACCTTACCCGTATCTGTTTCAATGGTCCGAAGATTTAATTCCCAAGGCTACCGATGATTTCCCAAAGACTTCCGATGCTCATGCTTGGAATCGGCCCTGAAAGCTATATAAGAATGATTTACTTACAAGTTTTTTGTCCAAGTTCTTACCTTTTTCTTCAATAAATGAATTTGTTTGGGGTTCAGAAGTTCATAGTTTTGATTACGAGTCAGGGAATTCGTTTGTTTGAGATCGACGTTTTTTGACCAGCTGCCCGTACCCGTTAAGCATGGGACTCAGTTGTAACTGTAGGCAGGTAGGTGTACGGTGATGATGATCATGCCTCTCTCGGTCGAACTGCTTGCCTTCTAAGACCTGTCATAGTAAACTTAATTTCTGCTACCGTGATGTCACGAGTGCGCTTATGACAAGTAGAGTTAGGAGCAGCCTGGATTCTTTCAAAAAAGTACTTAGACTAAGGATGTCGTGAAAACCCTTGACTTGAAATAAATGTTGGGCAATTTTGCCTAAGCGTTTGGAACACAACCAAAGTCGATTCTGATCTGTTTCTACACGCCACGATCAGAACAACAACAACATCACCCACATTTAAAAAGGGAAGAGTCGCGATCTTGATCTACAGTTAAGTTAAAGTGGGAAATATTGTTAAGCCTGCATTTTCGTAAGTTGATTAGTTATAGTGGGTCGGGTGGAGTAGGGGGGGGGGNTAAACTAAAAAAGAAACCAATAAAGTAGTTGTAACCTTGCTTTTGTGTACCTTTCGTGTAAATTCACGTTTTGCAAGCTGAAGTACCTTACCCGTATCTGTTTCAATGGTCCGAAGATTTCCCAAGGCCACCGATGATTTCCCAAAGACTTCCGATGCTCATGCTCTGAATCGGCCCTGAAAGCTATAAGAATGATTTACTTACAAGTTTTTTGTCCAAGTTCTTACCTTTTTCTCCAATAAATGAATTTGTTTGGGGTTCAGAAGTTCATAGTTGTGATTACGAGTCAGGAAATTCGTTTGTTTGAGATCGACGTTTTTTGACCAGCTGCCCGTACCCGTTAAGCATGGGACTCAGTTGTAACTGTAGGCAGGTAGGTGTACGGTGATGATGATCATGCCTCTCTCGGTCGAACTGCTTGCCTTCTAAGACCTGTCATAGTAAACTTAATTTCTGCTACCGTGATGTCACGAGTGCGCTTATGACAAGTAGAGTTAGGAGCAGCCTGGATTCTTTCAAAAAAGTACTTAGACTAAGGATGTCGTGAAAACCCTTGACTTGAAATAAATGTTGGGCAATTTTGCCTAAGCGTTTGGAACACAACCAAAGTCGATTCTGATCTGTTTCTACACGCCACGATCAGAACAACAACAACATCACCCACATTTAAAAAGGGAAGAGTCGCGATCTTGATCTACAGTTAAGTTAAAGTGGGAAATATTGTTAAGCCTGCATTTTCGTAAGTTGATTAGTTATAGTGGGTCGGGTGGAGTAGGGGGGGGGGGGGGGGGGGGGGGGGGGAACTCCCATATAAAAATATGGGAGTGCTCATCGCACCTTTTCGGGGTTAAAAAAGTGGTTTTGGTACTTCTTAGGGTGCTCAGCCTAAAAAGGTCCACAGCGGGAGCTTTTGCAGTACCTCTTGTCCAAAAAATTATGAAAGGAGATAATGTGTTATTGTAGAATTGGTACCTCTTAGGGGTGAAAAAAATTCAAGCCTTACCCACACAGCAGGAGCTTGGTACATCTTAGGCATTCTTTTTAAAATTTCTGACCAGCACCCCTGTCCTGTTTTCATGGGAGTCCCCCCCAGGACAGTGATGTGTACAGTTGAGCATTGCTTTCTCAAATTCAAATCATTTTCCCTTGGACATGCTTTTCAGTCATTTTTGATCAGCTGTTAGTTTTTTCCCTTGACAGCTCGAGGTAGTAGAGTTCAACTGCATTCCCTGTGTTTGTTTTATTTCATCAGAGGATGGAAGCACCGAAAAAAGGGAGGCTCCTGACTTTTAAAAACAAGACATTTAAGATGTGGAGAAAGAGACGACAACGTCCAGCTCTTGATAAAAAGAGCGGAGTAAAGGAAACCCCAAATTTACAAATGCCACCCCTGTCGACATCTGAGGAGAGTGAAATGTCTAACTGTGAGACCACTGTGGATCTGCCTAAACCACAAGATGATCAAAGTATAGGCACATCTATAAAAGAACAGAGCTCAACAACTTCAGGTCAGTGGGTCAAACACAGTTTGGATTTGTCAAAAGTTTTCTCCATATTTAAATCTTAATGTGAAATGTTTTGCCAAAGAGATTAAAATTATACATTGAGAATCAATGATCGTCAATAATGGGAAATATTGAGACCCATTACAAAGGTTTTGGTTAATAGACTTGAAACCTTTTTTTGGAGGGTTTTTTATAATAATATTATAATTATTGGTAAGCATTAAAGGTTGTAAAATTGAAGCTCTGAAGCTTGGTGGCAATATATTGGACACAGTGCGGGATTGATCAGCTTTCAAGATGATCCTGAAAAAATATGGTGCAGGAGTGAGGGGAGGTATAAGTACTATTTCCCAGCCCAAATTTCACCCAAGTCCAAGTTCTGTTCTCAATTTTTGGTGCCATAGTACCAGGCTCCTCTTTAAATTGAGACTGAGTGGTTCTTCATAGTAATTATAAACCAGAATGGGATTGTTCATTAGTTTATTGGAAAAAAAGCTAGCAGTGAGCTTTGAATTCACTTTGAAAATAAGCACAAGGTTTGAGCAAAATAAAGCGAAAGTCAACGGGTGAAAAGAAAGTAAATGAACAAGAAATGACAAGCAATCCTCTTCACTTTTTAAAAAGTGTTGAACTGACTCCTTTATTTTATTGTGTTTTGAAATCTGTAGATATAACATGTGTGGATATAACTTCTGTCTATATGACCTCAGCAGACAGCGAGAAAAGACTCAAGGATATGTCCAGTGAAGGACAAAAACAACTGGTTGTTTGTTTACAACCTAATGACGTCCTTGGAAATGACTATAGAAGATTGGCTGATAAATTGGGATATAGGAATGATTATATCAAGTATCTAGGAAGTACAGATGAACCAGTAAAAACATTAATTAAGGAAAAAGGAGACATGAAAATTCTGGAGTTGATTCCACTGTTAGAAGATATGGGGAGAAACGATGTGGTGGAAGAACTTCAGAAAAGTTTAAGTAGGTTGCCCTCATTGTTTTGTTTTCTGTGTTTGACAAACTGTTATCTTTATAACATTTTTATTGCATTACTTGTTTCTTTAACTACATTCAAGGCTGTGCTCTAGCAGCGCCTGGTCGCCTGAGGTGACTGGCCTCCATCCTCGGGCAACAAGAAAAACATACATAGTCACCTGGCTGGGCAACCTCCTTTTTGAGATTTAAACTTAGAGATGAAAACAATCTCACAATAATTTGTCTTTCCCTTTTTGATTTCTTGTGTTGTATTGAAGTTTACAAGACAAAATGGCTCAATTCAGAGTGTTTAAATTCATCTGTGAGGTCAGAACATAGGTCATTCAATGGCTCAGTTCGATGCGTGGGTTTAACACTGGTCTGCAGTGATATGGACAGCAGTTTACTTGTGTACTTGGTATAGCATCAACAAAAAGTCTTCTTAGTTTTTGTGGATTGCATAATGTGCATTAAAAGTCCCTAATAGAAGGAGAATGTGAACTAAATTATTAGAAGCATAGAGGGAAAAGAAGGAAAAAGGAGTTAATTTGTCTTCATATATCAACCATTTTAACTCATAAAAATGTGTAAATTTTATCTTTCTTTGTGGACTTCTGACAACAGTATTACAAAAAATTACATGTGAACCTTTTATTTTTGGCATCTGTAAATGGGATAAATGCCCTAGAAATAATTCGACATTTTTGTTTGAGGGTCAATCGGTTATCATATATTAATTAATAATGTTATTAGATCATTATAATTAATTAATTAATTAATCAATTAATTAATTTTGTTTTGTTTTGTTCGGGCCACCAATCTTGACTTCTGGGCACCCTAGCCTACAAGGTTGGGTGCCTGAAGAGCTCCTTAGAGTTTTTCTTAGAGCATAGCCTTTACACTTATTATAATGACTGGATTTCAGCACTCTCCTTCCACTAAGTGCCCCCTTTCTAGTAAGTGCTCCTCATTGAGTGTCATTTTTTAACAATAAGTGGCCCCTTCCAATGAGCACCCCATAGCAAAAGCAACATTCATGACATGGATGTAGAATAGACTGATTAGATTATCAAGTCTGCTCAGAGCCATTTGCAATTATTGTTATAGTTCTTTGGTTGAAGTACATCTGTTGTCTTCTTTTAAGGCTTGTATCTCATTCATATGCATATTTTCAACGAGATAATTTTCAAGATAAGATTCCTAATAAACACCCCTTCTCAAATAAGCATTCTCCTGTGAAGCATTAAAGGTAAAGAGCAGTAAGTTCCCGAGCTTACAAGCCACAAAACTGGTATTGAATGTGTTCATGTGATTTCATCAAATTCTCAAATCCAAAACTAAAGAGCCACTAAAGGTTTTATCCTCGTCAGGCATAAGAGGTACTAAATTCATATCTGTTTACAATTTTCCAGCTCACTAGCGTCCTTCGTTTGGAAACCAGCGCATTTTGAATTTCGGAGTTATGGCATTGTGTGACATGAAGCTAAGGTCGCGTTTGTTGGAAAATGTACACCTATCTCGTGATTTTTAGCTATTTTAGGAGTTAAAGTATTAGGAAAAGTGCTTGTGTAAATATTTTTGGTTTGGTTCAGATAATCAGTTGTCTAGATAGCCAAAGTAAGTTCCAGGTGTTTACACTATTTTCTGGCTGCCATATTGGAAGACGAAGGAGGTCCTCCAACATGGTGGCTCCATACTAGGCTCTATAATTTTGCACGGAACATTTTGACGAATATCTTAGCGTTGGGACAACGCACACACCTTAAACTTGGAGAACTGTCTTCTTTATTTATTGTGCATAATATCACAATTTCTTGACTTTATCTACTGAATGGTTTTTGATTTTATTTTTTATTGCATGACAATGAACATGCTCTATTGTGTGACCTGTCTTCATGCTTCATTTTGTTTAGAGGCGACCTCTACTCCAAAGCAAATAGAAGAGCGAGTAAGGAGACGCGGTATGTAGCTCGTGACATGTTATTACCAGTTGTTGTTCACGGTTGGTTTTGGTTAAAGTTTTCTGTCAGTCTGTCTGTCTGTCATATTTCCTGGTATTCATCATGATTATATAACATGAACATTTTGTTTCATTTCATCAAATGTAATATTTGTATACTTTTTTGATTGTAAATTAAATATTTTGTCTTATTTTTCTTGTAGAAAACAAACTGATGACAAGTGAGTAGACTTCACCTTACCACACCCAGTATCTCTTAGTTATTTATTGATCAGATCAGTGGAAACCATTAGATTCTGCAAATAGGCTGAAATGTATTTGGGGAACAAGGCAAGTTGAAGGCAAATTCTGGTCTGTGAGATGGGATTGGGCCTAGCCTGTGTGGCAGGTGCAATTTGTGAGGGAGTGGTTTGTGCTGGCCAGAGCCAACATTTTGTTCTCACACAGGAATTTGTGAGCAGCCAGTGAAATTCCTGCCTGCCTCATTTCTTTTTTTTTTTCCTCACGCCCTGATTAACTGTCCCTGGGTCTCTGAGGATGGCTTGCCGCGTACTTTTATTACCATTTGATGATCCAAAATAAGGCAATTCAGGGCTCGACGTTGCGAGCTGTGGGGTCGCCAATGCAACTGGATTTGGTCCGCTGGTGACTAACTTTTCATGTGTGGTCGCCAGTCTGGCCACCGCGATTTCAAGTTATTATAAAATTTTATTTATATATATATTTTTTTTCATTTCCTAAGATCCATAATGAAATGAATGAATGTTAATTGTAAACCATGAGGAATGCACAGACAATGCAATTTCTTATTACTTTCAGGTACAAAGCCATTTAAACTGCCTTTACTATAATTACTATCGTGAAATCAGTTAACTACATGTTTGGTTGACAGCATTCCGGAAGTGACATTTGTTCCTAAAAGGAGATTTTTGCCAAAAGAAAAATTCTCTACCATTTGATTGTAAACTATGGTGTATCCATTTCAAAAGAAATAACATTCGTTTTCACATTACAATTTAGTAGCGGTATGTTGTAGGAAAAGAATAGGGAGTTAATTTAATTTACAAAAGCTCGCATTATTATTCCACAGAAACTGAATGCATGTAGTGGCTGTATATTTGTTGCAGCTTTCTCATGAATAAAATTATAGTTTTCTTTTTCATTGGCAATATTTTGTAGTTCCTAAAGAACATGTGAAAGAAATAAAATACATTGATGGTAGATCGTAAAAGGCGGAAACGCAAACCTCAGACACATGCATTAGCATTTTGTGTTTTTTTTTTTGTACTGTATTTTCCCGTGTATAAGTCGACCTTTCAAGACCTAAAAATCAGTCCAGAAATTCGCCCTCGACTTATACATGGGTCAAAACTTGAGATCCAAGTGCCAGTCAAATAATTAGCATAATAATTGTCTTTCAATGTTAACAAACGTGATAAACGGCAGCACAGTTTACAAAGTATGTTCACTTAGCAATCTGTTTCTCTATATCAGAGCTTCAAGTCAAAATGCATCAACATTTATCCGTTAAATTTTAACCTGAATCTTGTAGACGCTCACTGGCTCAATTTGTCATAAAGAACCAATATTTTTCCTGTAAATAAAGCTGTAGTAAAGCCGCTCGGAGAAAACATCTTCTGTGCTTCAAACTTCTCTGCCTAGTAACCTGTCAGGATACGAGTGCGAGGACTTCTGTACCAATACTTGACCGATTTCGAGGCTTGACTACCACGTTCCCAACACCTGCTTTGCACTTTGTTTATGGAGTCATTCTGAAAGGTGTGAGCTTCTTTGGTGTTTTGCCTGTCTTATAAAGCCACTTTTAATCTCTTCGCACTTAAAAAGGTTTGTTTGAAATCCTTATGTTTGATTGTTTGATGTTGTGTTTGATTTTGTGATTTTCTTCCAATCTTGCAATGTAACTTGAGCTTTAACAAAAATAGCCTGCTTTTGACTTTCAACATTTGTATTTATTCCCGCTTGTGATTGAATTCAATTGCCGTATTTATCACGTCGACACGCTATGAAATTTTCCACCAGGCGCGACTCAAAGACTTGAAATAAACTGCATAAATGGCCAAAAAAAAGAAAGATGATCAAACCAATTTGAATAAGGAAGGTGTATTTCAGCATTGAAATTATTTTTTTGTTTGCTACGACTTACATTCAAATGTAACATTTTGTTTGGTTTGGTCTGTACAGAAAATACAAGGAAGAGACTAAAGGCTTCCAAAATGATTGAATGTTTTTGGCCCCCAAAAAATTTGTGCTGGCGACCNGGGGGGGGGGGGGGGGGGGGGTGGGGGACTCGTGATTTGTTGCTTTTTCGTTTCCCTCATATGTTCCAGTGCAAATCGCAAATAATAACCCCTTCGCGAATCCGATATGAAAAGGTCGGGGATGTTCGTCGGAAAATTTGAATTAAACCCCAAAGGAGACCAATCTGAGCGAGGTTTGAGCTTTATTTAACCCCAAAGAGATACCACTTAAAACAGAATAGGCTCGATCACCAGCCGCTGTTCAGGAAGGTGCCCGCGCTAGTAGACTGAACTCGAGTGACCGACGGAAAGATGAGAATAAGAGCGGTTTTTTTTAATCATTTAAAATTTCTTCGAGTGCACCCTAAAAGATACTTTGACAGCTAAGAATAGTGGCGTTTCGTCATGAACACCTTACGTGAGACCAGAATCCTTGATTTATACCTCTAAGCGAGACAAAGAGTCATCCTGGACCTTTTCATAGTCAGGTACCTAATTACACCAGGGATAAGGGGGAGTTAATATCCGGGTGACGCTAAAGCTCCTAACATTGCCATACCACGTATAGCTTAATACCCGCTATTAAATAGGCAAGCAAAACCGACCGATGGCGCGATGGAAATGCCGATTACTGCAGAAGTGCAAAGACAAAGCCAAGCGAAACTTTCGCTGTAATGATATTTTTTTCTTTCCGATTTTACGGGGATCGAGACGGGCGCGAAGAGAGTGATGCACGCGTCAGGAGAAATGACTGGCACGTTAATCAGCAAAAAGTCGCCTGTTTTGCAGGCTAGTGCGATTGAGCTACGATTTGATAAATAATGTAAATATTTTGGTTGGAAGTGGTTTACCTTAAGGCATAAAAATTCCGAGTAAAACTGTTTTGAAAATCAACATTGATAGGCTTTTAATTTTGGCCAATGTTATTACAATCGCGCGCAGGAGGTCAGCGAAAACCTACCCGGATCACTTTCGTAATCAGTTCTTATTTCATTTCCGCTTTACACATAAAAGAGACTATTCCATTATCGCAGCCGAGTAAATGTTTGATGAAAAAGCTTTCGAAAGGCAAACAACAGGGTCAGCGCTTCATTTTCCATATAAACTGCTACCTTTCCTGTTTGTTAATTTATGAACGTGTTAAGCTCTGTGCCCCTCAAGCTGTGGGGTTACCAGTGGCGGACATCTGTTTTGCGTTTTCTCAGAGGTTAATCCTCTCTTGAAATTATTCTTTGCCACCGACGTAAAAAAGCCACGTTGTTGCGGCGACTATTACGTAAATATCTACTATCACGTAAAATTATTCACCATCACGTAAATATCTACCATCATGTATTAAAATATTAAGTCAGCTTAAAGACCTTCGCAAAGTCACGCACAGTAATATTATCCATTTGAGATCCGTTGCGCAAAATGAGAATATCCAAAATCTTATGCTTATTTCAAGACAGTTCTTTTTATACACTTTCAATAAGCTGTGAGTAAGGCAAAGCAAATCTGAACTGAAATTGATCGATCAGGGTATCATGATTGAACGTTCGCGCCCGGGGGGGGGGGG